CGTCAAAATCTAAAAAACCTTATAAACCAAATTATAAAAAATCTAAAAGAAAATCAAAAGATATTATTATTTGTCATAAATGTGGGCGTAATGGTCATACAGCTAATAATTGTTATGCTAAGACAAAAATAAATGAGTTAAATGTTTCTGATGATTTAAAAGAACAAATAAGAAAGATTATTTTAAATACTGATTCAGATTCCGATGAAAGTATTTCTGATTTTCAAACAAATGATTTAAATATTCTCGAAAATACTACTTCAAGTTCAGAAGATTCTGATGTTTGCGAATGTATTGGTAAATGTCATTGTAAAAATTTAATCAATGTAATTACTAGTAGTTCTATTAACGTTCTTTCACAAGATGATAAAGATCTTTTAAACTCTCTTGATTCTATAAAAGATAAAAATATCCAAGAATTATTAATAAAGCAGATGCTTAATAAAACTAATAACATAACTCCTGCTAATAATGAAAATTTTAATTTAAAAAATATATATGAAAGATTTACTGAAGCAAAGCCAATTTCTATGCAAGAACTTCAAGAAGAATTAAAAATAGTAAAACAAGAGATAAAAGAAATAAAAAATAAAATTTTAATTTTAGAAAAAGAAAAACCTTCTATTTTTAAAAACAAAAATATAGAAATTAATAAAGAAGAAGAAAATAAAATTGAAAATGTAACTATTAGTAAAATTATAAATAATCAAGTTTCTCAAAAATGGAACACTCAAATTACTTTAGTCAAGGATAATTTTAAAATCAACCTAACTGCTTTAATTGATAGTGGTGCTGATATGAATTGTATTCAAGAAGGAATTTTTCCTACACAATTCTATGAAAAAACTGCATCTAGACTTACTGGTGCCGGAGGTACAAAATTAATTGTAAATTATAAAGTTTCCGATGTTCATATTTGTAATAACCAAGATTACTGTTATAAAACTCACCTAATTTTAGTAAAAGATCTCTCTTCTCCTTTAATTCTAGGAACACCTTTCATTACAAAACTATATCATTTTATGGTTCATAATGATGGTATAAGAACCAATGTTTTTGGAAAAGAAATTATATTTAAATTTTGTGAACCTCCTCTATATTCAACGATTAATGTCCTTAATTATAAAACACAACAAGCCAAATATCTTATTAACGAAATAAATAATGTTCGAATAACTAATCAATTAAATGATAATAATATTCAAAATAAAATAATAGGTTTAAAATTAAAATTTGAAAAAAATATTTGTTCTAATATTCCTAATGCCTTTTGGAATAGAAAACAACATATTGTAAAATTACCGTATATAAATTTTTTTGATGAAAAGGATATTCCTTCAAAATCTAGAGTCATTCACATGAATAGTGAACTAGAAAGTCATTGTAAAAATGAAATTCAAGATTTAATAAATAAAAAACTCATAAGACCTTCTAAATCACCATGGTCTTGTTCAACATTTTATGTTATGAATGCCGCATAATTAAAAAAAGAGGATCACCAAGATTAGTTATCAATTATAAACCTTTAAACAAAGTTTTAGAATGGATTCGTTATCCTATTCCTAATAAACGAAATTTGCTAAAAAAACTTTATGATTCAAATATATTTTCAAAGTTTGATATGAAATCAGGATTTTGGCAAATACAACTTCATGAGGAAGATAAATACAAAACTGGTTTTAATGTTCCCTTCGGGCATTTTGAATGGAATGTAAGGCCTTTTGGATTAAAAAATGCCCCTTCTGAATTCCAAAATATTATGAATGATATCATAACTCCTATAAGTAGTTTTGCTATTGTCTATATTGACGATGTCCTAATTTTTTCAAAATCAATTGATCAACATTTCAAACATTTAAATCAATTTCATGATTTAATTTATCAAAATGGTTTAGCTGTCTCTGCAGCAAAAATGCATTTATTTAAAGATGAAATTCGTTTTTCAGGACATGTTATTGTCAAAAACACTATTATACCTATTACAAGAAGCTTGCAGTTTTCTACTAAATTTCCTGATGAAATTAAGGATAAAAGGCAACTTCAAAGATTTTTAGGATGCTTAAATTATATCCATGATTTTTTCAAAGATTTAGGGATTATATGTAAACCACTTTATAATAGATTAAAAGATAATCCTGAACCATGGACTCAAAACATACAGATATAATTAAATATATAAAACAAAAGGTTCCTACTTTGCCATGTTTAAATTTACCTCATCCCAATGCCAATATCATAGTTGAAACCGATGCTAGTGATATTGGATTCAGAGGAATTCTAAAACAAAAATTTGTTAACTCAAAAGAGGAACAATTGGTTCGATATTACTCTGGTGCATGGAATGATACACAAAAAAATTATTCAACTGTCAAAAAGGAATTTTTAAGCATTGTTTTATGTATTAAAAAATTTGAAGATGATTTATTTATGAAAAGTTTTTTATTAAGAATAGATTGTCAATTTGCAAAAACTATTTTAGAAAAAGATGTGAAAAATATTATTTCCAAGCAAATTTTTGCTCGATGGCAAGCCCTCTTAGGTAACTTTGATTTCGAAATAGAATTTATAAAAGGAGAAAATAATTCGCTTCCTCACTTTTTTCTCGAGAATTTTTGCAGGGAAAATGAGTTCGTCGTCCTCTTCCAAGCATGATGACAAGAAGCCCGTCTCTCAAAAGCTTGTTCCATTTCAAAATCGTTTTTCTCCTTTAACTCCTACTTCTAAGAATTCACAACTTTATTCTAATATCCTTCAGTCAAAACTTGTTACTCTAAAAGTTACTTCAACAAACACGATAAACCCTTTTGTAAAACCTATCACTCCTCAAACTCAAAATTCTGTGACTCCTAGCCCTTCTACAAAAACTCCTTATGTCCTTAATCCAAATTTCTTAAGAATTCAAATTCTTGAAGATTTTCAAATCCATAAGTTACATCAAGGTTTTCATATTCTCACAAATCATCTCTTTGGTCAAGGGAAAACCTTTTATGTTGATTCATATAAAATTCGAGAATATTATCAAGGTCATTTGCAAGAATCTGGTTTGGTCAATTTTGTTCATCGTTCTAATTCAAAAGAGGGAAACATTGATTTTAGCAAAGCTCATATCATCAAAATCATTTCTCCAGAAAGTTGGGTTCCAAACCTTCATTCTGAAAAACCTCTTATAAGTTATCCTGCTTATCCCAAATTTTCTTACTATGATTATCAAGATGCCTGGACTAAGGCGTTCTTTATTCGGAATTATTCACACTCATGGTTTATCTTCTTTGATTTGAACTTCAATTGTGAATACCCAAGATGGTTTATCAATTGGTACAAATATATGGGAATTCTTCCAAATTGTTTACCAAAAGAAATTTACGATGGATATCTCAAATTTAAGGAATTGTTTATTCAACAAATTCCAGAATTTGAATATATGCTACAATTCACTATGATATTCAAAGTTCCATGGATAATGTCTTGGACTTTTCATTATCAAGAAGCAAAGGATTCCTCTCCTCCCTGGCTTAATCGACAATTTCGCTCAAAATGGTGGGATAAAATGAAGATTTCTCAAGCCAGTGAACAAGCAGTAATTAAACATTATCAAGAAATATATATTCAAAAAACCAGAGGTTGAAGCCACTTTTATCAAAAGTCTTCCTCAAAGTGATGTGGATCTAATTGCAAGAATTAAAGATGTTGCTACCTCTTCTCCTGAAGAACTTCAAAGCTTACTTCAAGAAATTCGTCAAACTCCATCAGTTTCTGACGATTCTCCAAAATCTATAAAGAATGGTTTATTTCAAGACGCTCAAGACCCTTTTGATGATCCTTATGAAGAATAAGAAATTCTTATCATTAAATTTGGTGTAATACCTTCAATGTAGGGTATTTCGTTTCTTTTATTTATCAAAATTATTATTTTCAAATACGAGTGTGTATAAACTGTGTGAGTATACACTATATATGTATTTATAGTGTATAAAACAACTATTATCAAATTTATTATCAAAATTATTTATTTTTTTATCATCAATGATAATATGAAGACAAAAAACTTTAGAAGATGCTCTATGATGGATAATATGAAGACAAAAACTTTAGAAGATGCTCTATGATGACATGCTTTATCAAAAGGTGATATTTATTGATTACAAACGACAATTTCTTCAAAAGATGAGTGACAACCACTTACAAGTAATTGATTGGCCATTGAATCATATGGTAAATTTCACTACAAGATTTCAAGGCTTTGAAGACTTCAAGATCAATATAAATAGACATCATATGTCAGTAGAAGAAAGCAAGCAAAAAAATATTCATTTTCTAAAAAATGTTCATCTCATGTCTAAAAAATCTCCAAGAGTCTCTCTTTCTACTAGTAGATGTTCAAAGTCTCTAGATTTTCAGATAATTCTTTCTCCAGATGTATGTATTGATTGTAATTCAAGCTTAATTCAAGAAGGTACTATCTAAAATATTTTATTCAATTGTTGTATTGTTGTTATTAAATTTATTTCTCCATGATAGTTTCATTTCAAGTTATTCTAACTATTAATTCTACAAGATTTGAAATTTTTGTTAAAATAGTACTTGTTTTTAATAATCAAATTAATCAAATTCATGTTTGAATTATTTAATTATGTCTAACAAAATCTTGATGAATCATATTCCTAATAGAGATATTCTTTTAAGAATACAACAAATCCAAAAATCTATAAATAATTCTGAGCAAAATCTCAAAGATTCTTACAAACCTATTAATCTAGGTACGATTTTAAACAATAATAATATTCATGATGCTAGATGGCTCATAAGAGCTAGTATTAAAATTCGTTACAAACAAATACGTTATCTAAAAACAAAACTATTTGTTTTCTAAAATGATATTTATGATATATATATATATATATATATATATATATATATATATAAAAGCCCTTTCATTCTCCTACCAGCAAAATCAAATTTATAGGCTTTACTGGACGCCAAGTCAACTGCCTTGTGAAACGATGCCATTGACAAAAACGTCGATTCACAATGGCTCATGTTCTACTGTGTCGTATCCGGTTCACCGTTTCATTGCCAATCGATATTGCCGATGTTCCCCAATGAACTATGAAATTTCTTCAAGAGATAATTCTCTTATTCCCCTCCAGACGACCTCCCCTTCTCATCTCATATCATGGCAACATCAATTTTACGTGTGTGTCTTCAATTTCCTACCCTATAATCGTTCTTGCTTCTCTTACATTATACCACGACAAGCTTTACCCCAATCCTTGCTATCGGCACAAAATGTTTCTGAATGATTACGATATTTGTCATGGTGATAAACATCTTCCATCAAGGCGCTGGAAATTCTTCACACAATCGCTTCAACTCTCTCTTCAATAAAGGTCCATAACACGTGACAAGTGATTACTCCCTTTCTGCGATTTTATTTATGTTACCCAATAGACAACCGCTTCTCTTCTCTCGTTCTTTGCTGTTCTGTTTTCGTTTCGATCGTCATGAATAATTTCTCTCTAATCTCTTTCTCCTCCCACTCTATAACCCTAACACCGATCACCACTTATCGCATCACGATCCCCAAGTTTTATCAACTTTGTTTTTAGTTTATTTCATTATAGGGCTTTGAATAAATTGGGTTCTTTTTCCTCGAATCTTATTTTTCCACGATTATGGAATTATTGATCTACATTAGATTTAGTATTTATATGGATTTTTGAGGTAATTAGAAATGATGTTTGGCTGTTAGATGTTCTATACCTTCATAAAAGTACAACATCCGAAACAATTACTAAATCAAACAAAACTGAAGCAATAAATGAGATGTAATTCCTAATTTTTGTTGGAGTATGTTAACGAGATGCGATTACTAAATCAAAGAAAATTGTAGCAATAAATGAGAACATTATAAATTTATTTTATCCACATATTCGGTGGATATTCAGGGTCAACTGATGTTTCAATAATTGCATTTAATGTACAGATTTCGTTTGCAAAACTTTCATTTCCATCACTGAAAGTGAATGAAAACTATGAAGATTGCATGATATACTAATGTTTATGTTTCATTTAGTCTTGATTTAGTTCCAATGTCACATTGATGTAGTTTGTTTCGGTTAGATGCTTTTGCAACTTCACAGGCTAAGGATTATACGTGAGTTCTCTCCCACATTAACTTTCCTCCATATGAAAGGTCTATTTATGTTCATGTTCTAAAGTAATTCTTGAATACACATTAACTTTCCTCCATATGAAAGGTGTTTTTCTGTTCATGTTCTAAAGTAATGCTTGAATACACATTAACTTTCCTCCATATGAAAGTTGATTCTTGATTATGATTTAGGGTTTACAATAATGTTAATGGATGATTTCGTTGTATTATCTAAAAATCTATTGTCCTCAAATTTTTAGGCTTTCTTTTTTCCTTCAGGATAATTTCAACTGTCACTTTGATTTCTGAACTTGCCCAATTTTTCTTGATGCCATTTATTGGCGTCATATATGGTTCTCAATTGAGGGATATCATTAGATCCCATTTTTTATAAATTCAACCGTGTGGACTGGATGTGTTGAATACCATTTTGCACACTTCCCTGGATTTTTAATCATTGACAGTGAACGAGGGAGACTAGATGAAAGTGAACATTTTTTTGCTGACAGAACATTTGAAACAGGGGAAGGTGGCTACTGAAGATCCTACTATGAAGGCGCTTTCAGAGATGGAGAGTGTTGTGAGGAAAGGAAATAGGAAGTTAAACAGAGCAAAATCGTTGTTAGATGTCTTTAAACATAGAATGCTAAAATAAGAACAAAATTGGAGGCTACAAAGTTAAATGATTCAGAGTTCATTAATATATGTTTGAAATTGAGTTGTGATTTCTATGGAATTTCTTAGTATCAAATAACTTAGCAATGCATGTTATTTGAATTATATGTTTGTTACTGAATTTGATTATGATATGTTTCTTTTTTTGGCTTTGAACACCACACGTTATTTTAACCAGACCATCACTTTGTGACACCACCAATTAGAAAACATTATGCTCATTTATTAATGATATTGGTTAGTTTTTATTTCATTAAATCCTTATTTGTTTGTTTATTACGACATAAATTACTTTATGCATCACATGGGCCTATTTTTCGCCATGTAATACTTATTTTCGTCTATTAGTTAGTCTATTGTCATATTCTTTTTGCATAACATCACACATTCCATTATTATGTTCATTATGAATCAGTATGTGATTGATATGCCTGCAAAGATACATATTTTTTTACGAATCATGTTGAATGCCAAATAAATAAACAAACAAACAAATAAATAAATAAATAAATAAATAAAAACTAAATTGATCATTTGATATTTCTCAGCAATATACTAAACATAGTAAATTGCAAGGAATAACATACTTCACTTTTTATATTACTATTGACATTGTACATTATTTTTTTTCATGTAATTGCACTGAACTTATAATTTAACCCCAATATAACAATGTACTTACAATTGATTACCAATCATAGTAATGCTCTTGTGATTAAAAGAATATGCTTTCATTTTCATATCTAAATCAAGCATTTTACGTTGAAAATCCACCTAGCTAATATACATTATACAGCGGTGAAAAAATTATCCAAATTACTTTTTGTGGGTCGTGCTTAGCATGAGCCTCAAACTTTTCTAGTATATATATATATATATATATATATATATATATATATATATATGGAGTTCACGGCCAAGGGAGGGTTCACAGCCGTGAACCTAGATTGTGGCCGTGAACCTCACTTGTTGAGGTTTATGGCTCGAATGTAGTTCTCGTTTCTTACGTGGTTCACTTCCTATCACTCAACCCTTAAGTATACTAGGTTTAGAAACCTATAAACTCGTTACCCTTACTATTTTAAGATAATAAGGAAATAAGAGAAGACAAGTCTGACTTTTGATTGATATGTTTGACTTACAAGATAGAAATTTTTCGGGTTGTCGCAAAGGGTCTGTTCTTGCCTCCAGAAACAAATACACAAATATTTCTAGAAATCATTTTTTCTGTTTTTTCTTCTCTAGATCCACAGTTGTAGAAATCGTTTTCTTGTTCGAAAAAAAATGATGGTTGAGGGAGAAGAAGACATGAATAGATCCATTAGAAACCAAAATCCACCACCGCCACCGTCGTCTTCACCTCTACAAACCCTATCTCGACGAACACAACAACAATCATTGTCGTTGATTTCATTGTGTGTATGTGTGTGTTTTTTCTTTTTTGGAAATCCATTTATGTGCAGGTTTCATCCCATAAAATCGATTTGTATGTGGGTCTTCATCTCTGATTTACCTCCCCTCTCACTGCCTTCTGAAATCACCCATCAACAACCCTTTGTACTTTGATTCGTCACAAATCCACCGCCTCCACCTACAGTTCTCACAAATCCTCCATCCCCCCTTTCAACTCTAACAATCAAGGACGAGTTTTGAAGCGATGTCAAAGCAGATGGGAAATCGAACCCTAAAACTGGTCGAGTTTTGAAGCGATTCCAAAGTAGAAAACCCAGGGGAAATCAAACCTTTGAGCTCCATTCTCATTCTCTGAAAGTTAACAATGGCGATGTTGCCATTGTTACACGTAATCCCAAACCAATCTGCACATGGGTAGTTCCCTTCCCAAAACAACAGATTAACTCGAGATTTGAGTGTATGTGTTTTGAGTGTGTGTGTGAGAGAGAGAGAGAGAGAGGATATTTTATTTTTAAATGTTGGTAATAAAACAAAAATGAAAATTAAATAATAAGGGCAAAATCGTCTTTACAAAAAAGTTCAAACCAAATTGGATCAAACCCCCAAGAAAAAGAAACTTTTGAACCACCGGTATTAATCCAAACTTTTTTGGCCAAAACATACAAGTTTTGACATACCACGTGGACCATTCTTGGAATTTTGTCTAAAATAAAATCTATTACCCATTGTGCTCAACCTACTTACTTTGCATCCTTTCCTTTTGTGACCTACTGACCTTAGAGATGCACACCAAAACCGGATCCTCGATTTGAAACCGATCCGATCCGAAAACCGATTTTGGTCAAAACCGGATTTGACCAAACCGGATCGGATTGGATCCGATCCACCGGATTCAACCCGAATCCTAATCCTATAGAAAAATCAGATTTGATACCGGATCGTAAACCGGATTTGCTAAAAACCGGATCAAAATCCGCCCCAAAATCCGCTAAAACCCACTAAAATCAGTTTAAACCAGTTTGAAATCTGATTAGAATCGGATTCGGATTTTGGCTAGAACCGGATCAGATTTTGACCGGATCCGGATCTGATTTTGACCGGATCAAATTTTTCATGACCTAATCAAAACCAGATCGGATCGAATCAACATCCTGTATATATGCACCTCTAATTGACCTATAATAGAACGTTAAGTCCCAATTAAGTTTGGTATGTTTGTTTGACCTAATTTCAAGATTAAGGACATAATATTATTTTTACTTTGAGGAAATTATTATTCATCTTTGATCATGAAACATGTTTGGTGCAAGTATATTATATATTACGATTATCTTTCTATCCTATTTAAATAATAAAAAATGAAAAAAAAAAAAATCCATTGGCCTCTTGCCCTTGACCTCTCAAGAATAGCCAAGTGCTACTGCTCTCAATCTCTTCTTCATTCTCCCCTATTTCACAGACAAACACAAACCCAAAGGCAGGAGAAGAAATCAACGACGCAGATACACTCCGATTGATTCCCTCGTCACCAGATCTCCGACCTTCCCGACCGAGCGATCCCGAAATCATGTTTCGTCAAGTAGCTTCTCGCCTCCTTACGCGTCCTACCACCACTTACTCCGCCGCCGCTTCCGCCACCACTCGCCGTCTATTTGCCACCGAGGTTGTGGCCGATACCACATCGGGAGACGAAGCGTTTGTAGAGGCTTGGAAGAAGGTTGTTCCCAACATAGATCCACCAAAGACTCCTAGCCAGTATATGCATCCTCGTCCTCCTACCCCTTCCACTTTGCCCACTAAACTCACTGTCAATTTCGTCCTCCCTTACGCTTCTGAACTTTCTAAGAAGGAGGTTAGTTTTATTGATTTTATGAATTATGCAAACTCGTTTTCGTTGTGCATGATAAAATTAATCGATTTCATTAGATTATTTAGGGTTTGTGTTTTCTGATAATGTAATTGCTTAGTTATTTATAATCAAAGAGGCTGAAGTTAGGTTTCAATAACGTGGTTAGGTTATTTTAATTAGTCCATACAAATTTACAATCCGTCTGAGTATTTGGCATTGTAATCAAACCAGATTCATTTGGGGTTCTTCACTTTCTGTTATTTATACGCTGTATAACAATGCTGTCTTATGGTGCTCAAGTGACTTTCATCTGGATGTATGCACTCTGTCTCCATCCTTTTCCATCTCACCAACCCTTATCTAGCCTTGATTTGAAACTTCATTGAACGTGCTAGTTCTATTTCAAGTTTCAAATGGGTTGATACACTAATGAAGCTTGTTTGATTTGGGTTTCTGTATGTTATCATCTCACCATGAAGTTACTAATTAGTCGCTAGATAATATTATTAGTCTTGGTAGCTGTTTTGTGCTCAATTTGGTTTCAATCTCAATTTGTGTTTCAACCAGTCAATCTGTAGACGTTCACCTTGAAATTGGTTTTCAAACTCAGTAAGTGGTCAAGTGTCTTCACTATTCATGAGGCTGTGCAAGTTCAATTGTGGTTAAATGCCTTGGTTTAGTTCAAGATTTTGTTGTTGTATTTAGTGTAAATATATAATGGTATCCATTAAAAGTTATTTTACGATTTTAACCTTGAAATGTTACAGGTTGATATGGTGATAGTTCCAGCAACCACAGGGCAAATGGGTATTTTACCAGGACACGTGCCAACAATTGCAGAGCTCAAACCCGGTCTTCTCTCAGTCCATGAAGGAAATGAAATCAAGAAATATTTCATCAGCAGTGGCTTTGCTTTCATTCACCCAAACTCTTATGCAGACATATTGGCTGTTGAAGCTGTTCCCCTTGACCGAGTCGACCCAGCCCAGGTACAAAAAGGGCTAAGCGAGTTCACTCAGAAACTGAGTTCAGCCACAACTGACTTGGAGAAAGCTGAAGCCCAAATTGGGGTTGATGTTCATAGTGCTCTTAACTTTGCCCTTACTGGTTAGAGTAAGGTGAGTGATTGCGTAATTGGTTTGCTTTGTTTTGTGATCCTTTTGGATTAAATAATAATATGCCATTTTAAATGGCTATTTGGGAGATTTTTGTGGGGGATGAATTTCATTTGATATCATATTTATACCTCTTTTGTTGTGGTAAGTTGAAACGGAATGTTGAGAAATGATATCTAGTTGCTTGAAAGTGCGTTTAGTTCAAAGAAATATCAAATAATAGAAAAGACATTGTGATACAATCTTTATGGTCTTTTAAAAACCTACAAAATACATATGTGGGCTAAAAAATAAAGAAAAATTAGTTAATTGAAGAAAACTTCGAAAATGTTATGATTGATGGTGATTTATAAGGTTGTTTATATTTTGAGTTTTTTGCAATATAATGTCTATTTTCATACTATAAATAAATATATTTTTATGTCATTTTATATTTTTCATCTAGTTAATAAATTAGTTTATCAGATGAAACTACATTTTTAGCTTCTATCAAACATTGAGAGAGGCTAAATTAAAAAATAGCAACATCTTACAACTTAGAATGCAGCAGGAGGAAGGTTTAGGTAGGCCTTTTAACATTGTTTTAATACAAGATGAAGATGAAGGTATAATCTGGTAT